TCGTTTGTTCGACTTATTAGTTAGGTCGGGGCGGGGGGGGGGAGAAATAATGGAACCATGGATCATTTGGACTTTGGCTTATAACCTTGGTTTATGCAGTTATAGATCGCCATATCGTTGGGTGTAGTTTTTTATCAGATTAGTGCTTTGGAGGTCTGTAAGTGACTCAGTGCCAGACATGAGTAGAGCAGCATTTAAGCCAAAATAAATAAATATTCAATTGTCTTTCCATAGGCCTTCAATGCTGCCAGGAAGAAAGACTGAATACAGGAGAAGAGCAAACTGATTTAATATTTAACCCTGCTTATGAACTTTTGATTTATTGTTAGTCTGTTTTTCGATGACAGTGTTAAACAAATTGTGCAGTTCTAGCAACCCAAAACTTACGCCCATGCACATCCCACTCATGAGATTTAATCCTGGAAAAAGGATCCATGCCATATGGGACAAAGAATCCTTGGCCAGGGAAAATGCATTTGGGAGCAAAAACCCTATAAGTGATAGCCATCTTACTGTGCAGTTGCAAGGATGAAGTCCCCAAGCCTTACTCTCATGTGCATCCCTCTCAACAGACTTAATCCTGCAAGGAACTACAGGTAGTCCTCACTTACCAATGGTAACTGGGACTGGAATTTCCATCACTAAGCAACACGGTCGTAAAGTGTGACATCATGTGACCGTGCTGCTTAGCAACGGCAGTTCCAGCACTTCTGGTTGCCATCGTTAAGTGAATCCTGTGCCATTGTTAAGTGCGACATCACATGGTTGCCATTTGCAACCTCCTGCCAGCTTCCCCATTGACTTTGCTTGTCAGCTGGCAGTGAAGGTCACAAATGGTGATCACATGACCCATTGTAAGTACAAGGACTAGTTGTAAGTACCACTCATTCAGTGCCATATATGACATGGGACAAAGAGCTCTTGGCCATGGAAGATACATTTGAGATACAGAGGCTCCTCTTCGAGGAAGAGCTGCATCAAGGCACAAATGTATACAAACATGATCAAAAAGACTTGCAAAGCACAAAGAACTTCATCATTACTGGATATGTAGGCCTCACTTTTATACATACAGATACCTGAACCTCCTATATTCTCTAAGGTAAGAATTGTTGACCAGATGCTAGCAAAGAAAACTCTTGTTGACCAGAACGTACAAAGACAACTGCAAGACCTCAGGGATTCTGTAGTAAGCTGAGGGCTACTGAACATAGCAGAAATTATATCAGCCCATGAGCAGCAAGACCCATTCCACCAGCATAAACCAAAGTTGTTGGCTGGGTCAAAGTCCCATCTGAGGGGCTGTACCTCAAAGCCACCATCAAGGAAGCAACTGTGGAGCTGCTCTTGTGTAGGGACACAAAGGAGGAACAGAGGTAGAAAGGGCTGTCCATCTGTAAGGTTGTAAGAGGAAGAAAGGAGGTATGTTATGTCTTAAGGACCCAGATATGCCACAGACCAAGGCAATTGCCTGGCTTTGTGGCTTAACTCATGCCACCTCCCCCCTCAGGTAGGGACTCCTATTCACAAACATCTTGGGGTATAGTCCTCAAACTACCATCACCTTTCTGAGGATACATAACCAGTGAGTACAAGTGAATGAGAACTTACTGTTAACACAGGCCAGGGCTCCCTCTTGAGGGCTGCAGGTTTCATCCGTGGCACAAGTGTGGGCCTCACATTTGAGCCCTTGACCTGGGATGCAGGTACACTTTTCCTGGCAGGCATTCAGCAGAACCGACTCATGGGGCTGGTGGGAAGGAACACCATATATAATTAAAAATACTAAAAATGAGATTTTCTATCTCACATCATACACATATAATATAAATTTGGAATATAAATATAAATCAGGCCCACATCACATGTTCTTCACTTCCTTGGGCAATCAGAGGTGTCAAGGGCACTCCTCAATGGAGGTTGTATCATTTGTAATAAGCCACTTAGATATAAATATTCCAGTAAACATTAAAGGACACAAATAGCACTCCAATAAACAACAAGGCCCCTTATCTCACAGCCCATCATGCCACGAAAGAGCTGTCTCCGGGCACCCCCTGCTCTCCTGGGATTTAGACAGCAGAAACTATTCAATGGGCTAGTGGACAGCCGAGAATAGGATCATGGCTTCCTTCACTAAGCGATACCAGCTCTACAACACACATAGAAAACGAGTGGTAAATACCCCACAACCGCATATGTGTGTCTTGCAAGGGCTTACATTTGGATTTGTTTGTCTTATTTCATCCTTTATTTCCTTTGTATTCATTACTGGATTTCAAAAAGGTGACATCTTTGCCAAAGGTTCCCAAAACAAAAAATGAATTCAGATGAATCTCCATGCAAATAATCGACAATAACATCTCATGAAAACAGTGCTTCCCATGCTTATTCAGTTTTTGAAGGAGATGTTTCTGGTTTCAATGCTCTGAACCATTTAAAGGGTTCAACTGCATAACATAATAGGCATTTCTTGATAGCGGAGGAATAGAATGAATTTTTCTCATAAGTGAGAAAAATCAGAAAACTACAGTACTCCTGAAAAAAACACACTGGTTTCAACATACATGCACACACACCCCATCGTGCTGCAGGAATGTGGACTAGATTCCCTAACCTCATAGTCGTGTCCATTATGGGAGCATCTGCAGCTTTCAACAGAAACGCAGGCA